TTCTTAGGTCACCAAAAACAACCCAAAAATATTCAGCATTAGCTAAGATATGCATTACATAGATTAGCAAAAATACAGCTGAAATGACTATTTCATACTGCCTGACTCTCTAAACAAGGAAGCTGGTAGAATCAGGGGGCCTCTTGTCTTCACTGAGAGTGACGACTATTTGAAAGCTCCAGAGCAGCTCCTAGGGAATTACAGCAACAAATTTCCACGGAGAAGAAAAAGACCATCAGGGCATGTAACCATTCCCTTCCTGCCACAGAACCTCTAAGAGAAACACAGGAAACCTAAAAGGCAAAGATGAGGCCAAACCATCTTCAGATCTACTCAGCCTCTACACTAGCCCCAAGCAAATTGAACTGGCAGATTCATGGGAAGGGAATGGTGGGTCCCTCTAGCTGCTCAAGAAAACAACCCCCCAGAATTTCCATATTCACTCCCAATGCTCTGTGGAGTTCAGGAATCTTGTGAGGTTCCCACTCTGTCTTTCCCTGTCATGCTGGAAGGCTAAGAAGTTACAAAACTTAGAAGGGAAAAAAGCAAATACTCTGCTTCAAAGTTCCTGTCCTGTGAGAGCTGAAAAATTCTGGAATTGGACCAAGTCAGCCATGGTACTTGAGCATGTAGGGACAAAGAGCTCAGATGTGGTCTATCACTGACACTGTTTATAAAATGCATTCTATTTAATGCAAAAAATCACCCCTGTCCCTTGCTAAAACATAACTCTAGAAAGTCCTCCCTTATTTCGACAACCTGCCAATGATTGTTTAACAGATTAAAAAAAAATTCATGGCTTACTTTTCTTCTCAGCTCATTCCTTACCAGAATCTCAGGTCTCTGCAAGAATTCTGTGTTCTCTAAAATCATAAATACTGCTTCAGAAGTTTTTCAGTCATTGTCCAACCTGCCTCTCAGTCCCATGGAAACTCTTTGCAAAGATGTTGCTTTTGTCTTGTCTGGAACAAATTCCTTCACAGATGGACCATCCAATGTCTAAGAATAACTCTTTTAACTATCAATAGAGACAAAGAGATTCAGTTGCACTGTTCCCGTGGGATTCCTTTGAGTTTGGACACATCTGTTAAGATGCATACATCAGAGCCTGAATGAAGTTTTTGTCTGATTGTATCTTTGAGAACTCGTGAAAGTTTCTGCCAAAATGATCTTATCTCTTGGCTCGCTTGCAAAATATATACAGTTATAGATGCTTTCTGAAAAGCTCCTGAAATAAGTGGCCTATGCAGACCAAACCAGTTTAAATACAGTCAGCTCCTGATGACCTTCTTCTCACTGAAGTCTTTAGAAACTTTACCTGAGGCTGTTCAGCCTTTGAACTACAGCCTGATTATGCACTTTATGCATTCTCTATCCATAAGCAAGGAAATATATGAAAAAAATGTGAACAGAACAAATCTCATTGCTTTCCTTTGCTTTTTTATAACCTTTCCACAACTTATACTTGTCCTTGCATGAGCACCTTTCTTCTGGGTTAGCAGATAGATCTGTTTGTGACAGCTGAGTAGCTAGACGCATAACTCAGCTGGAGTTCTATCAGCTCACTCTTATCATTTAATTCCAAATTAATTCAATTATTAGTGGTGGTTTTGAATCATGAGGGCTGCTAAGCCCTCCATGAAAATAGTTACCTCAGGAAGCACCTCTTCCTCTAACTTGTTTCTCCAACTGTATTGCATTTCCCAAAAGAAAAAGAGATGGGACTGGACACAGTGCATCCTGTGCTCTGGATTTAGCTTCAGGGATTCATCTGTGCTGGAAAGAGTGCTCAAACCCAGAAATCTAGGACCTAGTCCGACAAATCTGAGGAATAATGCAATTTCATTTTGAATAAGTGGCACCAGAAGCAGCATGTAGAATACATGCTACAGAATGAAACCTTAAATTATGTTATGCATCACATATGACTTCATCCAAGGTTTTTGTTTTTCCTTTTTTTTTTCTTTTTTTTTTTTTTTGCTAAGTATTCATATCAGTAAGACTGGCATTCAGACTATTGCTTAAGGCTTTCTTCACCTCTGCCTTTTACAGCTGAGGAGCAGATGGCTATCACAGAGTTTTTATTTCCTTTGCTTGGAAAAAAAAAATTGATCTGAATCATTCCAAAAGCACCCTGATATTTTAAAGTAGATTGGCTTCTGAACATTTCTCATAATATGTGGTGTTGTTTTCTGCCAAGCACTAGTGACTGTGCATGCAAAATGGTCAGTGAAGATTTCAAACTGATTTGAAAGGTGGTCCATAAAATCCAAGCCTTTTTTTCCCCCCAGATACATAAATGAGGCCTTATGAAAACATCTGTACATCTGTGCATTTTTCCAAGAATTGATACACCCTACCATGCTGACTCTTTCTGTGTGCTTCTGGTGTTTTCAGAGAAAATTCCTCCCAAAATTTCAGTCTAACTTTAGTTCTATACTATTTCTGTACTATTTGCCATCCACTAGAAAACCTCCCAGCAGAATGAAGAATGCCCTTTCAAAATGAGGTGTCTGCCCAGCTGTGAGGGTACTGCCCAGGCAGTAGGATGGTCTGGGAAAGCGAAGAAAAACAATGTTGTGCTGCCTAAAGGTAGAGGGAAGGACAGAAAGTCTCGCTGGCCCGAAGAAGAAAAGCATCACCATGGGTCCAAAAGTTGAGAGGAAGAAAGATGTGGCAATGTAGCTCTGAGGGGAGAGGAAGAGAAGGACAAAGAAAGAGATTCTAGAGTGAGGGGAAAGAATTGACCCAAAAGACAGGGCACATCAGAGATATGGAGAAAGCATTTGTAACTGCAGGGAGACCCGTTTCTAATGTTGGGTGCCACAAAAATCAATCTTTTGCATCCACGAACATATTCCAGCAATCGAAGGATTGAGGCCATATGAAAAAAGAATACCACAAAACATGGTAGAAAGCTACAGTAAATATGCAGTTATATTCATCACTCCTCATTTCAGTTCATGTGGGTTCTTGCTGTTTTGCAAAGGCATGCCAAACACTAATTATATGCATACCACCCCTAACAAATACAGCCTGATAAAGGTCATAACCCATAATAATTGTGAAATTTTCTATTGCTTTCAGCTAACAGAGATAATACCACCAGAGGTCTTACTATTTCCTGAATCTTTGCAGGACTCTAGCTATATTTTGGGAACTAAATTTCAACAATTCACAAGACAGGACAATGTTAATGCTGGAATTGCTATTAAACCCATTTTCTGAAAAAATCCCCTGCACTTGCAGTGTGAAAGGAGCATCTAACCTGGGCTGGCAGTTTACTCCTATTTACAGAAGAATACAATTGTTTAGGTTGGAAAAGGCCTTTGACATCATCTGGAAGGTGACTTGGGGACAGTGTCTTCTAAAAACTTAGGAGTCTAAAAGACTGTGCACAGAACAGGTAGAGCATGAAGAGCTGCAGGCTCCACCTTCCCCTGCTGGCCTCTGCCAATATTCCTCACCCTGAACTTGGCCACCTCAGAAAGCAAAAGCAGGAGCTCATTCTCCAAGTTCCCAGCAATCCCTGCTGGCCTCTGTCCTAAGGTTGCTTTCATGGGTTACATTTGTACTGTCAAAAAAATCAGTGTGAGGTTTCAAATCCCATTTACTAATGAACTCTTTCATCTTTGTGAATGGGATAAAGGGATTCTTTGTTTGAAAATAAGGATTATTTTTTTCTTGTTGTTCTGCTCATTTTTTGTATCTTTTCACAAGCTTTTTGTTTTCAGAAAACATTACAAGACAAAACTGCACCCCAGTTTTAACAAAGAGTCTGACATCTCCAATTTGAAAAGAGTTTTCATATATACTAAATTGCATGCTGCCTGCTGTTCAATTGTTTCACAGCTCTTTCTTCTCTCCAAATCACCAGGTGAGATTTAGGAAAGTCTCCCCAGTATTTACCAGCTCTATTAAAATCAAGATCTCTAGCAGAAGCTCATAATGAATAAAGTCAGAAGCCAACAGGAATGAATTGCAGCTAAAGTGATTTTGATAGTGATGATCCCTATAACCCGACTGCTTCCAAGCTTGGCCCTGAGGCAGGATTTTTAAATTAAAGAAAGAAAAGGATACACATACTTTTTAATCTGATTTTTTATTGTCATGCCCTGTTTTTTTTTTTTTTTACAAGCTTTTGCAAAGTCTGGTTGGCTTCTGAGCTGTTGAAACCTGGTGTCATCATCTTCTCCTCTCCCCCCCGCCTTGTAAATTTACATTATAAACCACTGCAGAAGAGGTAAACTATAAATTCTAAAACTAGTGAGTGATGAAATTCACAATACCCTGCACATTCTTGCCCAAGAGACTTCCAGGCAAGGACCTCTGTGAAATGACAATGTTTTGAAGAGCTGGCAAGGTCAGGTGACTTTCCAAAATCCAGTTTTAATAATCTCCTCCCTTATTTTTTGTATTTTTTGGCAAAACAGAGAAGAACATTTTCTAAAGGGCAATTAACCCATGCTGAGTAATCTGAAAGTAAATGCCCTCAAAACAAGGGCCTTAAGGCTGGTACAACCACACAGGTCTACAAAGATTTTCCAGACTCTCACAGACTGATCCTCTCCACAAAACGCTCCCCTTTCTTCATGGAAACTTTACAGTCCTGGGCTGCAGAGCCAGGCCCATGTTTTCAGCACAGACTGAAACCCCTCCAGTCAGGAGATATGGTTGGGTAATGAGAAGCTTGTGACTACCTGGAGCAGAGCAACAGTTCTAGTTGGACAGGGACATGCTTGAGGGGTCTTTCCTTTTTAATTTGCAATAAGCAGCAGCCTGACCTAAGAACACGCTCTCACCTTTTTTTCTGGCTGATTGCATTATCACAACCTTACCACAAAAATGTTCTGCTTTAGATGTAATTCCCAAAGAAGGGAGAAGGTAAGCCCTGAGAAGATCCTCTTTATGACATTATGGGAAGAGCATCCAACTGGAAAACCTGGTGCACAGTAAAGGAGGTGTTTTCAGGAACCCCAGCAGCATATTGGTGTACTCACAATCAGATGACCCTGTGTGTGCGTGCAGGTTTGTTGGTGAATGTGGAGAGTGGATGAGGGCCGGGCTCAGAGAAGGAACAGCTTCAAGGTTCAGGCAGGGAAGGCCTGGCTTGGCGCTGCATGCACCCGTCTGAGTAATCTCATTCTCCTCAGATGCCTTCTGGTTTTCAGCTGTCTTGGGTTTCTTCCTGAAAATAAACAAAGAGACCTTTGATGGGACTGACTGCATATTTGGGAAAAGGCATTTTTAGAATCTGTTAAAGATAACTTTCTTCCCCCACCACCACCCCCCTCTCGCCTCTCTTTCCCCTTACAGAGAAGGAGGCAGAGAAGACTTTCCTCCATACTTCTTGTTTGGAAACAAGCTGCTCCTTGTTTTGACTCTGATGCAATGGCCCTGAGACTGTATTACAGCAAATAGGCCAAGCATGAAGCTCCTTATTCTGCCCCTACTGATGACATATAAAATGAAACTCGTCCCAGTAGTTTAGACAGTCAGAGCACCGTTTGACAAATATTAACCAAGGCTGTAGCATTCTGAATAGAGAGAGTTATACAGAAATATAATGGAATTGTCTGAAAAGCAAACAAATATGCAAGTTTCAAGTTCAAAACTAATCAGTGAAGAGACTTGATTGTGGGGAAAAGCACTGAGGCAATTTTGAGATGCAGAGTTCATCTAAGTAAAGCATTAAGACTTGGAACCTGAACCAGCTGTCTATGAGCACTGAGCACATGAGCTCTCAACACCTCCCTCCATCCAGAACCTCCAAGGAATTAAGCATCAGTGGAACATCAAGCAGGTAGTCAGTCACCACCTTAGCTTCAGGGCTGGAGAAGCCGAGGCACCGGGCGAAGCGGCAGGTTTTGAATCACACAGCGAACACATGCCTCACTGTCCTCCCTCCTCTACACAGGTGCAGGTGCTCCCTCAGTGCTCCCCGAGCCAGGGAGCTGCGCCGCCAGCTCGGGATGCAGCCTCCGGAGGGGACACTGCTGCCCGGGCCCGGGATGCGGCCCGGGCACCGGGCAAACGTCGGCTGCTGCCGCCGCATGCCGGGGGGAGAACCCTGGGCACACCGCAGCAGCCGGGCAGGCTGGAGCCGTGCCGCTGGAACCCGTTATCTCCTGCCAACCCTCGAGCAGTGCCGGAGCACCTTGGGCGCACGTCCTGCCTGCCGGCAGAGCCCTTTCCACAGGCCGGGACTCTCCTCACGGAGGGCCAGGGCGAGAGCCCCTTCTCCCCGCGTGCCTTTGCCCTCCTGCGTCCCACCCGGGACAGGGTTTGAGGGCTGCACTGGCCTCTCCATTCTTAAAGCGACTGTTCAGCGCAGAGAGCGCCGATCCCGCGGAGGGCGAGGAGGGGCAGAGCGGGACGGTCGCTTACATAAAGGCCTTATATAAGGGCGGCACGCCCGGCCGGGGGCAGGGCCCGGCCCGCCGCCACTGCCTGCGACCGCCGCCAGGAGGCAGCACCCGCACGGCCCGGCCCGGCCCGGCCCGGCCCGAGGAGCAGGTTAGAATAAAAATATAAGTTAAGGAAGAAAGTTAGAATAAAAATAGGAAGAAAGTTAGAATAAAAATATAAGTTAAATGGGCCAGAAAGAAAGAAAGAAAAAAAGTCCTTTCCCCAGCCTTCGTCCCGCAAAGCCCCCCCAGGAGGTGGTGGGCGCGGAAGGGAAGCCTTGGGTTGGCCGAGGGGCAGCAAGAGGCGCCCGGTGGCAGCTGGCCGGGCCTCGGGGTGCAGCCGGGAGCTGAGATGAGCTGAGCTGTGCAGGGTCACACTGAACACCCCGCAGCTTCTGGCAGCCCTGGTGCGTTTTGGGTTACCGGGACTACAGTCTCCACACCACGGGATGGGCGGATGGTATTGCTGCTGTAAACTATAGCTTGTACGTGGGCACGTATATTTTAAAGTACATGGACTGCATATGTTTTGTTTGTAACAGTTTGCACGGATCTTTGGCATGATCCAAACAAACTCTGGCACACCTTCACACGCCTCATTTCCAGAGCCCAGGATATTCCCATGTGCAGCCAGCATGCAGTGGGGACTACAGGAAATCTATGCACAAACCAGTGGGTTTTTACAGCATTGCTACCCAAGCAGCTTTCAGATAGCACACCTTTCTGGCCCAGGAACAAAGGCTGTATGTAGGCTAGGACTCTGGATGCACAAGTTCCCCGTACCCAGGAGCTGAACTGCTGTATTTAAGGTTTGTTTTCAGCTCAGAGTTAAGCCAAGTTATATGCTTGGAATACAGCCTCTGACTCCAGGTCTATCCACACACAATGCTGCCTAGCCTGGGCAGGAGACTGCTGTTTTTTGCAGAGTGGGGGCTAAGTCTGAGTAAACAAGACTTGCTGGTCAACTAGCACAGCTATGGTTCTGTTGTTAAATCAAACACTGGCTGATGTTTCATCCTGTGGCTGATCCTGCCTCCCGGGCCTTCAAAACTCATTAGAGGGACAGTTAAAAAACACTATAGCAACAGGTAGTGACACCAAGAAGGCTGTGCAAAGCATCCCCTGCTTCTTTCTAACCAAACCCATATTTTTTCTACTTTGCTCCTAAGGCTGACACTGTTATCAAGAAGCTCTTGTGTCATCATTTTTCCACATTGCAGTCCTGCAGCTCTATGACTTTTGCTCACTAGGATGGTAAGAATAGAGTAGTGGGGCTGACTGGCACTGGAGATGACACCTCTCCTCAGAATCTTATTTCTCTCACTGTTCAGACATGGGCTTTATGTCACTACCACCTGAAAGGGATGCAGGCTTCTACAGGAGGGAAGCTAAGGAATCAGCAAAGTCAGCTAAGGATCTAAAGAAAACTTTTCAGAAAAGACAAATCCTGGGGACACTGTGATGAAAACTACCTATGAAGAAACCCAGACAAAGTTCTCCAGTCTGCAATGTCCAACTACTGTTGCCAGCAAAGACAAAGTCATAGAAATCCTGCTGTTACTGTAAGTATATTGCTGTTCTTTTGTTTTACCTTATCACCCATACAGAAAGCTCCTATTGCATGATCTTCACCTATATATTCTAATGAAATAGTCTTACATTCTCTTATATAGTCTACTTCTATTGCTATCTTTTTCCTCTAAGTCTTCACAGGGAGAATTGTTAAGTACTCAATCAGGTTATGGCATCTCCATCCTTGGAGATTTTCCAAACTTAATTGAACAAGGCCCTGAATAACCTAATCCAGCTTGGAAGTCAGCTCTGCTCTGAGCAGGGAATTGGACTACAGACCTCCAGAGGACCCTTCCAACCTAATTTTTTTTCTGATTGCACACTACTTCTATGAACACTCCCATCAGCAGGCTCTCTAATATATCTCCATGGTCCAGAAGTTTGGAAAACTGTGAATTTTTTGGTTATAGCAACATAAAAAACCCTGAAAGAACAAGGAGCAAGAATGAAACAAGTAATAAATACTGTTTGTGGAACCTTCCCAAATTACTCCTATGTATGTCCCATCTCTGGACTTCATTGATTGGCAATACTATGTGATTATTTCAGTAGTAAGGGTCAATCTACCTTGCTGCTTTAGTTCCTGTGACTACGTTCTTCTCTATATAATAATCTTGGAAAAGAGCTGTTTGCTATTTACTTGTTAGTAAGGGCAACAATGGCCATGTTTGGAATGCAAGAGACTTAGGAATGTGCTGTTGGAGTAAGGGGCTCTGTTCTGATCTCTGGTTATCTCCTTCTCTATACATACCTGGGGTGCAATACAAGTCCTTTCCACTCATTCTTAACATTATGAACTCATTCTTAACATTATCAGAGGGCCATCATCATCCTTGCTCCTTGTGAAGAATGGCAGAAGGGCAATACAGCAAAGAGATGGCACTTTGGTACATGGACTTGATGCATTGAATCCCACAAGCTGGGAGTAGAAAAGATACTGATTTTCAAAATTTAGAGGGTCCATGCAGAATTTATATTTGCTATTGATTTACAAGAGATTTATCCACTTTATTTCTAAACATCCTACCTACTCTATCACTTTTTATTTTCTGTCCTATGTCCATGTACTTTCTATTTGTTGGTATTCACTTTTAGCATTCCCTTATATTTATTGTGGGTTTTTTTGTGATGTTAATTTACACCACTTAATATATATTATCCTTTTTCTTCATTGTATCCTCTCCAGTACCTAACAGGAGGCTAACTGCCTCCCCTGTCTTTCCTGAACTGAACTGTGTGTATCAGTACTTGTCAGTTCATGTGTAAAGCAAAATGTATGCAATCACTGCCATCATATTATTTCTGTTTTCTGTCAGCATCCTCACTGCACTGAGGCATTCGCTCCTTTCCGTGTACCTTAACACCGCACTGTCATAGAACAAGATCTCAAATGATGGCCAACTCACAATGATGCAGCGGCTGCAATGATCTAGGTACTGGCTGTAAACTAGAATTGGCTCATTTGTGTTTCATCTGAAGGCAGAATGGGTAATATTTTGGATGTCCTAACCTCAAAGCTATCTAGAAACTAATTACTACCTCTGAGCTTTGGAATGCCTTTAAAACCCCTGCCACACTTCCCCTTTCTTGCTGCCACTCTTGCATACAACTTTCTCTCCCTCAACCCTCCACTTGCTCTCCACAGTTGATTTCTTTGCATGTACCTCCTTTGCAACCATTACTTGAGTTTGGAATGAATTTCCCCTGGATGAGTTAACACGTTCTCACAGTGGGGCCAGCAAACCAGGTCCCTGTCAAAAATAGACAGTGTATGTTGTACTTCTCACACAGCAGCTATAACTAATGCTTGAACCTTGCCTTACAAGGGGAATAGCTCTCTGTCCTGCAGAGACGTCAGGTTAGCACTGAACAAATTAGCTCAGGTATAGGAACCAGTGTAGCTGTGCAGAGCCCACAGCAGCATCCTGGGTCTCAGGGGAAGCTATGATAATGTGGCTGCATGAGAATAATACTACATAATGAACAATAATGAGGCAGTTTTCAGCCTCTGAATACAGGGAGGGCTGGGTCACCAACCAGACCTTTGTTCGTCGCATATTAAGCAGCACAGAGGGAACATGCCACAGGGTTGCTGATGTTGTTGTAAGTGCTGCTGCTGGCTGAGTCTGCCCACCCATGTTCCAGGCATTATTTTGCCTCTTCACAGCTATGGCATCACCTTATACTAAGTACCCTCAGGTCAGA